CAAAAAAAAAAAAAAAAAAAAAAAAGCACAGGTATTTAAAACCTGTGAGAAAAGAGAAGTTAATACAAGTCAGCAATCAAATCAGGAGTCAACAATAAAAGAACATTAAAAAAAATTGTCTCACTATAGTTTATGGTCTTGCTATGGTTCCAGGCTGGGTTTGAATTTGTGGTCCTCCTTCCTCACTCCCCAAGTTGCTGGGATTACAGGTGTGTGCCACAGGAAACTGCACTATGATGTCCCATTAATACTATCCTTTAATCTTTTGCATTATGAAAATGTTTGATTTTATTAAAACCTATCTAGCTCTCTCATATGCACATTTCCGCTCATATATGTATGCCTTGATAAATCTGAGTGATTTCATAGCATCAGCTACATGGTACAGAGCCCTACCAGTTAAGCAACACTGTATTATTAACTCTTTTTTTGGTATGGGGGATCAAACTCGGGACCCTGTGCTTGTGAGGCAGGCGGCAGAATCACTGAGGTAAATCCCCAGCCCCTACATTATTAAATGAAAAAAATTTATATTACACTTTTGAGAGCTCTCTATTTCACCTGTAAGGAGCCACATTAACAGGAATATATTACATATGGGAAATTCTACACTGTATATAAAACTTGCTTATTGTTTTAAAAGTGAAAATATCTATTTTGCTTATTTTTCACTAACTAGCTTTATTTTAGATTACTTAAAAATAATTAAATGTTGGGGCGATGTTCTTTTATTTTCACTAACATCTTTAACTGCTGATTTGGTTTTATCTCTAGCCTCTATTAGAACAAAATCACAAGTCTCTGATTCATTGTCTCAGTTACAACCAGCTAAACATGCTCTCAATGCCCTGAAAATCAACAATGCTGTTTCTTTTTTTATAGTTAATTTGTGCTCTAAAAAAGGATTTCTACCAGTACAACAAACTCCAAAAACCCTATCACAAATTAAAGTGTCAGTGTATGAAGAGTTAAAACGAATTCATAAAAAAAGTTTAAAACTATGCTTTAAAAAACCCTCAAAGTCTCAAATAATACACATTTTGAGTATTAGAAAATATAAATCCCCAGAATAGGGCTCTTTTAAGGCAGTAACTCTTAACTAGGCTTTTGTTATCACATGCTTTGCACAGTTTGTATGAACATACACTCATTATTTGATAGCTCTAATCCAACACCCTGCTTCTTTTAGAAGAGCCCTACATCAGTTTATCCCTTATCAGCAACCTAAGATTTCTTAAGAAAATCAAAGTTAGTATCCATCTAGAATTATGTTGTCTCAAACAGGAGTTACAGATGAGGTATTAGTTGAGACTTAGCTGAGCAGCTACTACTTGAGCAAGAAAGGCAAAAGTTAACTTCACCAAATGCAAGAATGACAGCTACTTTCTGCATCCTGCACTCATCCTATAAGGAATTTAACTTATTTCCTACTTTCATTAATGATATCTCTGGTCTCCTTGTTTCTGAAGTTTCAACAGTACTTATCATCACTTTTCCACCCTCCAGCAATCCCACACCAGAAAGAAAAGGTATACGCACCTTAAAATCTGTATTATTGATATATTCAAATACCAAAGCTGGTGTCTTTGACTGCAAGAGAGAATATCAATGCTTTTTTAGGTATTCAGATAGTAATAAATGTGATTTGCTTCTGCCACAATTGTGCATCCCCAAATCCTATAAGATGGAAGAGGAATTCAGAAGTATTTTCTGGAAATTTTATGACATTTGGAATTTGCTTCAAAACACTGAATAGTGGGAGGTGGGGGAAATTTGTAGGGACAGAGATGGAACATGACTGGCCATAATTGATTAATCACAAAAGTTGAGTGATATGTACAGGAAGTTCATTCATTATATTATTCACTTTACTTCTGTAAGTGGCTGAAATTTTTATCAACAAAAAGGTTTTTTCTGCTATTGTTTAAAAAGGAAGTATTCTTAGGCCAGGGATTTAGCTCAGTGGTTCCGGCACCTGCCTCACAAGCACAAGGGCCCGAGTTCAATCCCTGGCACCAAAAAAAAGAAAATATTCTCTAAAAAGCCTACCAAAGGCCTTGACCAAATGGTTAATGTTTACAGGAAGATTTATACTGTACAGTATTTCAGTATGCCAACTTCAAAAGGAGTGACATTTTCATCTAGGCTTAGCAGGCAAGATGCATCTGACAGAATTTTTATTAGTTTTGTGAACCTAATACAAGTCTTTCAGGGTGCAAAAGGAAAACATAATTATCTGTAAAATTATCAGTAGGCCACAAGGTAAAATTACTGCCTTGCTTAGAGAACATTAAAAAATACTTCACCTCACAAGGCAAACATATTCCTCCAAAATCATATGTAATAAATTTTAAAAAAATACTATGATCTTCAATGAATATAACACATTCACTACTTCTTCATGGACATCTAGATGTTTAAATGTCAGGTTTTCCTAAGTGAAATAAAATAATGCTAATTGGCAGTTATAAACTTTCAAAATCAGTAAAAAAATAGGATCTTAAAGCATTACAGACATTTAAAAAAACAATCATCTTGGAAATTTTTGTTGCTGGTAACTTTTGCCCAAGGACTAGGTCAAAGTTACCTAAGAAAGAGGCCACAGTACATACACAAAGAGCTTTGCCAGAATAACGCAGAATCCAAGCAAAAAATCCAGGTGCAGCCATGAACAAATGATTCTTCCCTGGCTCCAAACTGTAAAGGTTTCATCAGACTGGATATCTACAGACTCTTGAGTAAGCCTGACCTCTCAAACACAGAGAACAAGGATACCCTGTTGATTTTCCTCTACTTCAATTTACTTGTCTTACCTATCAGTAAAATATACATATATTTAACAAATTACAAAAATAGTAAGAGATCACTAAATTCTGTTAACTATATTGGCCCACACCTTAGAAATTCTTCCAAAATTAGTATTTTTATATATGGCAGTCTATTTTAAATGGACAAAACTCTTTTTTTTTTTGGTACCAGGGATCAAACTTGGGTCCTTGCACTTGCGAAGCAGGCCACCAAACCACTGAGCTAAATCCCTGGCCTGACAAAACTCATTTTAATGAGGCCAGTTTCAAACATCAGGCAGTCTGGAGTCTTTATTAAATCACCCTGAGCCAAATAGGATGTGATATATTTTTAATGATAACCAGATACAATCTGGCATACAACTATCCCTTCTCAGTCTTTTCAAGGTCCAAAAGAAAAACTTTCCTTACTTTTTGACAACACTGTATACTCTCAGGCAAATCACTTGACCTCTACAGAATTTAGTTTCCTCACTATACAATACGGACAAAGCTTCCCTAGACTGTTGTGAGGATTAAATGACATACAGCTCAACACTCAGAATAGTGTCTGATCTGTATTAAGTGCTGTGTACACTAGCTTCTATATCATGAGGGTATCTCTAACGAGAAAAGCAAAGAACTACTTCTGTAAAAAAAAAAAACCTATAACAGAGGAGAACAGGGAAATACCTGAAGTAGAGCCGGTGAACAGCAATGAGACAGGAAGTGGTACAAAATGGGGGTGGGTGGGTATAGTTTGCAACCTTCTTTAATCAAAAACACAGAACATTAAGTTTTTCCCAGGGAGAGAACAAAATTGAACAGCATATCTGAAAAGGCTAAAAATTAATCATTTTAACAAAAATATTTTGTGTAAAAAATATATTTTAGTTGTATTTATACACACAATATTAGCCCGTGTGGTGGATGGGGAATTAAAGACTAGTATGAGAAGCAGCAAGGCATCTTCCTCAGAGGGTCTGGTGGGCTGTGACCTGCTCAGCTCTCTATGCCAGATGTCTATCTGGAAACATTCAGTATTTCCTTGTATAAACCCAGACTTTCCACTGTCAGGCTTACATATGAGTAAGATAATGCAAATTGGTGGTAATAAGGTTTCAAAACTGAGACAAAAGTAGGGGCTTAAAGGAGCTACACACCAAACACTTGTGGATTAGAACTAATGAGATAACAAACCTGGGACAAGGTTTTTTTTTTCCTTTATGTATTTTTAGATTCCACAAAAGTGGTGGTGGCTCTCTTACCAATGGGCCATGATGATTTTTCTGTCTGGTTTTCAAAACTACTAGGCAGTAAATACAGATACCATCATTCCTACTTGACGATCCCTGTGTTAAACCCCCTCCCACTACCCACCAGTCCACTAGCATCCTCCCCATCAACCAGGCACCTACCACAGGGTCCTTTACAGTGTCAATCAGCTTAATGATATTTGTTCCACCACGAAGATTCTCCAGAATCTTAACCTCTCGTTTTATCTTCTTTTTCTTCACTGGCTTAAATACACAAGTGTAATCAAAAGTGAGACTCCTTTTAAAGCTAATATAATACATACAATTTTAAAACAATGTAAGCCAATTATATGGTTTGCATGCCATCTTGTATACTGTGTTGCATTAAAAGAGCATGCCTAATTAGAAAACAGATAAAAAAGGGCTTACCTATAACATTAAATTAAATAATTTACAGACTCACATAGCTTGTCAAGATCTTTAAGTAGTTATATCTAGGGCACTTTAAAAAATGTGAACACTCGTGTCATACTTTAAAAATAAAATGCTGGCTTACTAGTTAACTGTCAAATGGCAGTGTTATAGCTCTGAACAGCTGTATATCATGGACTCACAAATGGAAAAACTGAAAAAAAAATGGTGAGACACCTGCTCCTCCCAATGAGTTACATATAATTTTGTCTTCCAGAAGTGAAAACCAGTTCACCGACATCAAGTTACAAACTTGTTTCCCAGCTGCTGGTTCCCATTTCCTGTCGCCACTCCCATTTCCTTAATATCTAGAATCTGAAATCAGCACTGAGCCAGAATATTTCCCATTAGATCCCATTCCTAAAGAAAGAGATGTTGGATCAGCAAAAAGAAAAACTGATCAGATACAGAAGTACCAAACATCTCTATCTGCTAAGCTAGTGATCTGCTAAGCTAGTGATCTGCTAGATAGAAAAATTAAAGACTTTAATTAGAAATACTTGCATAACACAATTTCCCGTTTTAAACTGGCTAAAGGATTTGAATAAAGGTAGTTCTGAAAAAATAAATATATCACACTCAAATATGCTTCATAACACACTAAGAACAGTGACTGGCACATGGTGAGCACATGGCAATTGTTAGCTTTATTTTTGAATTTTTAGATAGTATTAAGTCATATAATCCTCACAAAATCTCTATGCATTAGTCAGCAGAGAGCTATTTGCCCAGGGTCACAGCTAACAGTAGAACGGGAGCAGGAATCAAATCTGGGCAGTCTGACTTTGCATGCCACATTCTTCATTACTGTGCTTTTGTTCCCAAGTGTGCTAAGGAGAGAAACATACTGTAACTAAGGAAAAGAAGAATTCTATTGCAGAGACACTGCTATAATAGCACAGGCAAAGAGGGGCCAATGTGCTTCTATGAAACAATTAAGCAAGATCTAAAGTCTGTTTGGTGGAGAGGAGAATATAAAGAACCATCTTTGGTTGGTCACTGAGATACAGCTCTGGACAACTACCCAAACAGAAAAGAAGAATAAAACGTAGCTCTTTTACCACCTATAATAGGGTGCCAGGATTTCCAGTAGAGTAAATCTGGCTGTTGTGTATCCTTAGTCTCTTTTTCCTAATCAGGGAGCTCAATATTATTGTAAAATGAAGCACTGTACAACCTGATCAAAATATAGCCATATATAGCGAAGGCCATATTACATAATAGCCTGTACATCTCAAAAATGTCAATGCCATGAGATAACTGAGCAACAGTTCCAGGTTTAAAAGATACGAGAATTGAATGTGACACACAATCTGAGATTCTCTTTTGCTACAAGGAACATTGTAAGAACGACTGGCAAATATGAGTGAAGTCTGGAGATTAGTGAATCAATGTTCATTTCTGATAGAGTGGATCCTTGACTTACGAACTCAATTCATTTGCAAAGGCTGGCTGTAACTAAGGTTGGTCAACTGAAGGCTCAGGCTCCTCTACACAGCCTTCAAAGTCTCTCTCCTGTGCACAGGCAGATCTCAGGGTCATCGGAGAGACACTGGCCAAGGATTTCTCAACCCCATGCCAGAAAGGATGTTGTAATGTTCCTTCCAGAGCTCTTTAAGGGTTAAATCTGTATCAGGAAGCACAAGTGGCTGGCATTTGGGTCGTAACTCAAAATTTTGTTAAGTTAAAACTAAAATTCTGGTTGTAACCCAAGTTGTTTGTATGGCAGGCTGGTCGTAACTGGAGGGTCCATTGTATTTTTAATATTCACTGTGGTGTTAAAAAACTGTCCTTGTTTTTGTTTTCTTGGTAGTGGGGATTGGACACAGGACCTTCACACTGAGCTACATCCCCAACCTTTAGGTTTCCCTAAGTGGCTAGGTTGCCCAGGGTGGGTGTCAACTTGCTTTCCTCCTGCCTCAGCCTTGTAGTACTGGGATTATTTGCCTATGCCCCACATCTGGCAGGAAGTGTCCTTGTTTTTAAGGAAAGACACACTAAAGTATTCAGGAATGATTGCAATTCACTCTCCAAGCATTTCAGAAAAAATATACATGTATACATTATATTTGGTAAATAGATAAAATGGGAGAGAAGAATATAGCAAATGTTAACATTTGAAGAATCTAATTGAAACATGTATGTGAATTCTTGCAACTTTTCTGGAAGTCTGAAATTTTAAGAAGTTAAAAGAAAAATAAAAGCTACCTATGCTGTTTGTATAAATTCGACCAATGCTAACAGTCCATTTAGTCTAACAGCCAACACTAACAGTCCATTTAGTGCCTTTTCATGCAAGAAAATTCTAGAGTTGTCATCCACTACTGGAAGGGAGTAACAGATCCTTTGGTAGTAGCAATAGGAGGAAAAAGCCCAGACAGAAGCATATTTACATCAAGAAACCTCCTGTGCTTCTAACTCTTTACAGGGGCAATCCATTAAGTAAACTGCTTTTAAGACACTGTCCCAAATAAAGCTTCTGCTGCTCTCCTGTTATTCAGCAACAGGTCAGATGGTACACAATTCCTAGAAAACCCAGTAAAGTAAAACTATCCGTCAATACATCTATAAGACAGCATGTGAAGCATACTTTGTTGATCAAGTATCACTTGTCCAACAACTACCCAGACTGGAGACTGGGAACACCAAGTCACTTCTGTAGCGGTGGAATTGAGTCTCATAATATCTAGTATCCTCACATGCTGACTAAAGATCAAGAAGCAATAGAAAAAGGAAAACTACAGCCTAAGACATTTCCATCTGAATATAAAGAACCAGGCTGTAGGCAGCTCCCTTTAACCTCAGATTACTCCTCTGAACCTGGGAGAGATTCCAGAAGCTAAGCCACCAAAGAGTATGAGAGTAAAGGTGACTGTTTTATTTCCAGAATTAGACCCAAAGAGAAAAGTTATTAGGAGGGACTGTTGACATCCCAATCAACCAACCAACCAACCAACCAGTTTTATAAAGATGCTTTGACTCTCCTGTCCAGTTTGCATCTACTCAGCATCAGTTACACATAATGCAGAAAAGAAATAATTTCCATGACGACTTTACCTTGTATGCTAGAAAAAGTCTCTCAAGGGTCCATTTCTCTCTCTCCTTTTTTTGACAAAGGGCCTTTCTTGGTATATAGTCCAGGCCAGCTCTGAACTTGCAATGTAGCCCAATTTGGCCTTAACCCTGAGATCTTCCTGCATCAGCCTCCTGAGTGCTGAGACTGCAGGTCTCCATCGGCACACATAGCTCTATTTCAGTTCAGAAAATATCTGTTCAAAAGATGTTCCCAGCACTCTAAGAGGCTGAGGCAGCAGGAGCTCAATTTCAACTTAGCAAGACAGTCTTAAAAAATATTTTAAAGGGATGGGGATATAGATCAGTGTGTCTTGAGTTCAATTCAAGTACCGGAGAGGGAGAAGGGGGATTCAAACTCAACTGGTTTAGCTATTTTCCAAACCAAAACATTTTTCATTTTTACTTAAAATCAAGTGGCAAAAAGTTAAAAAAGAAAAATTAAAATATTGAAAGGGAAAAAAAATTTCAACTTTTATGTGCATGAACTTTGAAAATGGAAAAGAAAAAAAAATCTTTTCAGACAGTTTCTATCTGTATGACAAACCAGTTCCAACTACTGGACAGAAGCTTGTCCTAAGGAACTCAAGAGTAAAGTACTTGTCCCTCTTCTTTAACTAACATCTAAAATGTTTAATATATAAATTTAGTGACAGGCTACTCATAAAGACAGAAGTTGACAAGATCACTAATATGTATTTACCAGAAGTTTTTTTTCTAATCCAGATTTGAGGATTTCAATTACCAGCATTTAATTGAGACTTGACTTACAAACTTATGTCTATCAAAGTTATAAAATTATGACTGCAATAAATTCCAGGAAATATTAACAGGCAAAGTCCCATCTAAATTGCTCTTCAAGCACAAATAGATTGATAAATTCAAGAAGTCACAAGATATCTACAGTTCCAAATTTGGGGTTATTTCTATTCCACTAACAAACCAATGGCTACCCCACTACGATATTAATTCCATCACAGCAATTAACGAGTACAATCAATAATGGTTGCCAGGAATGGAGAGGGATGGGGTAAGGAAGAACTTCAGCCTAGATGATGGTGTTTTTTTTGTGTGTGTTTTTCATTCAGTACCAGGGATTGAACTTGGGTCCTTGCACTTGCAAGGCAGGTGGTGGAACCACTAAGCTAAATCCCCAGCCGGATGGTTTTTTTTTCACCTTGGTAGCATCTTTGAAATCCAGTGCACTTGACCTAAATATAATCTGAAGTTGGATGTGGTGGTGCACCCCCATAATCTCCAACCACTAAGAAAGCTGAGACAGGATTCTGAGTTCTAGGATAGCCTGGGAAACTTAGCAAAACATTGCCTCAAAACAAACAAAAAAATATTAGCTGAGCAATTTATGCATAGCAACTTTTCTTCTAATCTTTTAAATCTCATCATTCCAATTACATTACCAGTTCCTTGAGGGTAATTGTTTATTCTCAAGATTAACTTTTTTAATTTAGAAAGGCAAAGTATAAATCAAAATAAAATTAGGTACCACCTCATACTCACTAGAATGGGTACTACCAAAAAGTCCCCCAAAACTAACAAAAACAAAACAAAAACCCCAAGTGTTGGTGAGGATGTGGAGAAACAGGAACATTTGTATACTGCTGCTGGGAATATAAAATGGTATGGCAACTGGGGAAAGTTCCTCAAAAAATTAAAAAGAGAATTACCTTACGATCTAGCAATTCCTCTTCCGAGTATACAACCAAAAGAAGTGAAGCAGTCTCAAGGAGGAATTTATACAACTATGTGAAAAGCAGCATTATGTATAACCACTAAAATGTATAAGAAAACCAAGTGTCCACTGTTGGATGAATGAATAAACAAAATGTGGCATGTACAAACAATGGAGTATTATTTAGATGTAAGGAGATTCTGACATATGATACAACTTGGATGAACCTGTGGACATCATAAGTGAAATCTGACAGCCACAAAAAAGACAGCTTTCTAATCTTATCAAGTAAATGTTTCAATCCTTCTAGTATTAGTTCTGCCTCAAAATTCATTCACCTGGGCTGAGGATTTAGTTCAGTGGTGCCACCACCTGCCTTGCAAGTGCAAGGGCCTGAGTTCGATCCCAGATACAAAAAACAAAACAAAACAAAACAAAACAAAAAACCTTTCACCTGCTCTACCTTTAATACTGTTATTGTAATTATATTGTACTGTTCTCTCAGTGCCAGGCACTGCTCATATTTTAAGAGTAACACGTACTCTGTATCAAGATATTCTTTTCACACATGGTTCGCTCTCAAATAAGCTTTAATATATCAAGGGATAAAACTATAAACCCCCAAATCCGACAAATGACCAGGATGAGGCTTGAAGAACAACTTAAGGAATAAAACACTGCTCACTGAGGCTTTACAGCACTGAACATGTTGCTGTGGATATTAATCTCAGAGAACCCCTACCTAAAACACTCTGGGTGAGCATCTATTCCATACTTCAACTAACAATCCATCAAAGTCAAATACTTCCTTTCAGAAAAGTAACTCCAAAATTCATTCAAAATAAATTAATTTCATTTGACTTCTAGTGAATTTTCAGTCTTCCCAGCACAGTTCAGGACATCAAGATGTCAAATGTCCAGTGTCTCTCACACCTACGCTGACTACATGACACATACAGATACAGTTATACCTAGTACTCACTACATGACCCTGAACAAATCACATCCTTTTTCTGGGTCTTGTTTTTTTTTTTTGAGAAAGGGTCTTGCTTTGTAGTTTAGGCTGGCCCTGAACTTATGCAGCCCAGGCTGGACTTGAACTTGTGGCAATCCTCCTGCCTCAGCCTCCCAAGTGCTGGGATTATAGGCATATGCCACCACAACCAGCTTGGGTTTTGGTTTATCTGTAAAGAGACTTGGGATCTAATGGTTTCTAAACTCCTACATTCTGCGATTGTTTGACAAAAGTTAAAGCTCCATCTTTGATCACACAACATCAATATTAGAAACGGCAGTTACGCAATTTTTAACATTCATGTTACAATTCTAACATGTTCCCGTCAGCTTGAACCACCAGTGGTACATGTATGACTGTCCCATCCGGTAGCTTGTACCACTAATCTAATTTAAGCACTTTTATTGGTCTTTTTACTAATAAAATTAATAAATAGCTGCCTAACAAAGTACAGTACTGTTTTAATTATTTTTATACTACCAGGCATTTGCGAAAACTGGAATTAAAAAAAAAATAGCAACCATTAATGCTTCGCTTCAGAAAGACAATACACAAGTGAAGGGTAAAAAAGCTACCATCAGAGAAAGTAGACATTAAAGAGAAAGCAACTACCAGCATGGAGAAAACATTACTGATATAACATAAAGACCAGCAGCTTACTATCAAGGTACGAACATGATTTATAATCAATACTAATCCTCCTTTAACGCTATCTCCTAAGAATGTAACATTTAAAAAAAAAATCTACACATATGCTAACCATTCTTTAAGTTCAAGAATTAATTTCTGGGGAGGCAAATGGGTAGCCAAGATGTTTATTACTCAATACTATTAATAGGAAACCTTATAAGGAATTTCCAATTCACTGCAGCTCTGGTTCAAAATGTTGTACATGATTTTAAGTAACAGCATTGCTTTTGAATTCTCAGGAAATAGCAGTTTAATCTGAAAGATCTCTAGGACCCCATGAAGTGCTGAAATCCATCCATATAGGCAGTGCTCACAAAATGCTAAAAGTTGCCCAAAATGGACAAATGCTTTTATTTCTGTGTACACCTTTCTAGAGGTGCTACAAAGGAACTTGAGGAACTGATTTTTCAGAATCAAAAGATGAAACTTTTGACACTAAATAGGTTTCTGCCCTGCAATATAAACCCTTACCATTTCCTCTTCTTTTTTTCTTTTCTCTTCAAAACAATTTCTGTCAAAAACGAACCTATTGATTGGGAAAGTTTCTTTTGAGATTTTAACCTCAGAATGTCACTTGAGGACAGGCAACAAAATTTTCTTCATAAGTTTATAATTCATAAAACCTTTTAATAGCCCCAATATACTTTGATCAATAAAGTACTCAGAAATCGTTGATGTAAATTAAATGAAATAAACTTTCCATGGCCATTCAGCAATCAATCATTCCCATAAACTGGAAAAGGCTCACATAAAAAGTTACTGATTGAAAAGAGAGGAGTCCCCATCCACAAGGAATGTACCTTCTTTCTTGGTCACTATGAGCACATTAATACAGAAAGTTTCAGTTGAAATACAGTAGGCTTAACATGAAAATGAAGTCTTTTCTAAATGCCTCTAAATTGGACAGCTGGTATTCTGTTAAAGACTTCATTTCTTATGACCAAGAACTAGAAAAGCAGATGATAGTCACAACTTCAACTTATGTGACTACAACAGAGTAATTTTTTTTTTTAGACAGGATTTCCCTATGCAGTTCAGGCTGGCCTGAAACTCACTGTGATCCTCCTGTTTCAGCCTCCCAAGTGCTGGGATTGCAGGTGTGTGCCACCATCAGTCCAACAAGAGAAAAACTCTGGATAAAGACTTCTTTCTCAAAAAGAAATTAGTTTTTGCTACAAAATCACAATACCATTAGTGAATTCTTATTCAGTCTTTTAAACAGGAATAAAACCTGTACAGAAATGTCACAAGAATTTGAAAAAACATAAAGGAGCATGGTGGTTCAGGCTGCACTGTGACTAGAAACCATGTCAAAAAGAAACAAGGAACACTTCATTATCTAGAGCGTTAAAGAGGCTTCCCCAAGTCTCATTCCAGAACACTGGAACTTATTCTATGCTCAACATTGAGATCCTATAATCCAAAGCTAAATAAGCAGGAAGACACTTGAAGAAATAAAGAAGAGTTCTGGCTAAGGGATGCTTCAATGTAATAATGTACATTTCATTGTGCTAAGGTCTCCCACTTGTAAAAATAAACCATCGCAGCTTCCATTCCAGGCTCCCCAACCATTGAGAACCTTTAGTGGAAGGAAAAAGTGTCCAGCTACTGACCCTATGAAATTCTTTACAAGGATGACTACAAAGCAATGTCATGCTTTCCTAAATGAGTACATGGGTACTTACACATATACCTGGATGCTGTTCCTTTTAAAAAAGACTCCACAGGAAATTACACATTTGTTCTAAAAATGCTGCCGCTGTACAAAAGTTTAGATATTTTTCTGGAATTGCTTTAGTCAGCAATTCATTTTTCTGAATGTACACCATTAGAATGTGGATATTCCTAACTTCAATTTGTTTTGCACTTAGATTTGAAGCAGCTTATACTAAGAACATTTATACTTGGTGCATAAAGGGACTGTATGGCTTCCTCAGTTCTTTAAATATTTTTGCTTAAAAAAAAAACAAAAAAACGAATAGCCTGGTATCTTGTACTTCATGTTTAGGGAAGAGAGGAGTCAAACCTGGGTATCTTCAACATCAATTCCTTGGTTCTCCATCCGCAGTGTTTCTGACACAGATAATCTTGTGTACCTCTCTCTACTCCGATTCTGCTCCTTCAACACTAGGCTAGGATGGTGCTGAGTTATGGGACTGGTCATTTTTTCAGAAAGGTGGTTAATAGAATGCATTTTAAACAGGGACTACTTACACAGCAACCCTGACACACAAGAACAGCTTTTCAATCTAGCACTCTTATTCATAGCATCTCTGCCACAGCAGAAATAATATACATATAAAACTACTTATCTATCACTCCCAATAGTCTCAATCTTTCACTAAATGACATGTTCACACATTAAATGTGGTAATAATGGAAACCCCTCATAAGATTTTAAGGATTACTTTTTAGTATGCCCTATAAACAATTATTAAACTTGCACACTCAATTACTTGAAGGAAAATTTACCCAGCTCTTCACGCTCATTAAGATCATGTCTTCATCAGCGAGCTAACAAAAAGCATGTCATTATCAAACTGAGACTGCTAAGCCAGATATTAAAACAGTTTTGTTCCAATTATTATAGTGATTAGAAATATTCCCTTCTATTGCTCCAAATTTCACTGTTACTAGCGGGGAAGAAACAACAGCCTGCTGACTTTCCAAGAAGACTTCCTGGCACTAATGGCTCACTGCATCCATCCAACCTGAAACCTTACTGCTAAAGAAGAAATATGGGATTATCCAGAGGGAGTTTCCTCCAAAGGATTTAAACTTATTTTTAAAGCTACATCAAAGCCTTACAATGTTCTTCCTGGAATAACTCAGAGCATCTTGAGTAAAAATGCTCAAGGAACCCCTGGACTGAGAGAATCTCCATTAAAAGGCTTTTATTCCTTCTGAACACCTACTTATTCTGTAACAAATGAAGCCCTTTTAAAATTTTTGTTTTGATAGCCCATAATTTATACACGTTTCTGAATTGTAATAGTCAAACTTGAGACTGGTCTTCCTATTTCTTCAAAAGTTTATAGGAAAATGAGGTGGAAGGAGTGGAGACATAGGACAGAAGAAACATAAAATGAAAGTTTACAGTTTCACATTCTATAACACAACTGGGTAGCTGATGTCCTTTTGACCTGTGGATAAAAATGTTACATGGCACTCATAGGACACTCACCTTGAGAATTTTTACAACCACTCTCTCGTTGTTAGTGATGTTAATGGCCTCAAATACTTCACTATACTTTCCCCGACCAAGTTTTCGAACCAGTTGGTAATCATCTTGATTACTGTCAAAGGAAAAAGATACACATAAATGCCAGGATTTGGGATTAAGCCTAAGCCCACTACACAACTCGTCCAACCATCTCCCTTAATCAACATTTGGAAGTGCCTACATACATCATGTCACAACTCATTCCCTAAATGAAAGCCGTAACACAAACTTGGCTCCGTTCACTCTGCAGAGCTCCTCAACTAATTGATCCCTCCAAATCCGTGGAGATGGGGCAGCAAGCAGCTCGCGGAGCCAATCTAGAGAAGACACACAGCACCTGTCTCACATCCTGAAGGGAAGCAGTGCATGCTTCGAGAATCTGGACGTCTTTTAAAAATTTCTTCCCACCCAGCCTTTTCTCAGAAAACTAAAAAGGCAGAGAATTTTAATAGCTCGAGAGGTCAGCTATTGACTTCCCACCCCAAGAGAAACCAGAGTGTGAGGAAGGGCTGCTCCCTCACTTGTCCCAGGCTCTGGCCCCTACATTTCTGTCCCCCGTATTAGTAAAAAAAAAAAAGAAAAAGAAAAAAAAGCGTTCCTTGGGGAAGAGAAGGGTGCAGAGCAGGTTCAGGGAGGAGCGGGGTAGTGTGGAAGAGGAGGACGTGTGCGAGAAGGGCCTCAGCCTCCCACCACAAAGCAGAGGAGGCGCCGGTCTTTATATATTCTAGATGTTAGTCCTCTGTCTGAGGAATAGCTGGCAAAATTTTTCTGTTATATAGATTGCCTCTTCACTCTGTTGGTTTTTTCCTCTGCTGTGCAGAATCCTTTAAATTTCATTTA